CCACCACCCTTAACCCAGGGAAAATCTCTTAGTCAAGGCCGTTGGACTTCCCTTTTGCAAGCATCCCCAAAGGAAGGGCAGGCTCTTTGAAAAGTTTAAGTATTTTTCACACTGAAAGTTGTTTCGGAGCATCTGCAAGATACATGCATGGGTTTAGGGTGCTGTGATCTTGCAGTGATTTCTAGAAGACAGGTTTGCCCTCCGCAATGCCTAATGCTGGGCTCTTGTAGTCCTCATGTGACTGGGTTAGATCACAGGTGTCAAGGTCTGTAGAGAGCGGCGTGGAGCCGCACCTAAAAGATGGCACCAGCTTCTGCCTTCCACCTTCCTCGATCCTGAAAGCGAGCGCTCTCAGTGGTAAACAACACCTTATTTGGCTAAGGCCTGGATTGTGTGGTGATCTAAGCTGCTTGCGTTATAAGTGGACCTATGGACAGTGCCCACGTGGCGATCCAGTATTGGCTGTTCAGGGCTATTTAAGGGCTGGGAGGGGCTTGCCTGGAGAGAGAAGCTATTGTAACAAGGTCCTGAGTAAACTGCCTGCGAGAAGAGCTCCGGTGTTGCATGTTCCTTGCTTGTCGAGGCGGTCGCAACAAAGTGTATACTATAGAGACCAACAGCACTAAGTGCTGGAACTCACCCTCTAATCGTGTAAAGCACACCTGTAGCACAACTGTGGTCTCTGTGTGTGTGTGTGTGTGTGTGTGTGTGTGTGTGTGTGTGTGTGTATGCGTGCGCATGCAGTGATCTATCTCCTGCAGTGAGGTTTCCCTAGCCATGGTGGAGGGTTACAGGTAAGTCCCCATCTTGAAGGAGTGGAAGTGTTAGTCTGTTCTAGTTAGAGAAAGGGCTAGTTTATGTAAGTTTGTCTATTTAATAGTTTCACTTGTTTTACTATTGTTGTTTGATTTTGTTTGTGGTTTTGTTTTGCCTGCCTGTTTTCCTTCCTTCCTTCCTTCCTTCCATCCTTCCTTCCTTCCTTCCTTCCTTCCTTCCTTCCTTCCTTCCTTCCTTCATCCCTTCCTCCCTCCCTCCCTCCATTCCTCCCTTCCTCCCTTCCTCCCTTCCTCCCTTTCTCCCTTCCTCTCTTCCTTCTTTCCTTTCCTTCGACAAGTTCTTCCACTGACTGGCCTGAAACTTACCAAGAGGGCTCGCTTGGACAGCCAGCAAGCCGCAGGATCCATCTCCCTCCTCCTCCTAGAGCTGAGATTACAAACCAGTACCACCAGGCCCAGCTTCATTCACAGGGTTTCTGGGATCAAGCTCAGGCTTGCTTGCTTGCAAGATAAGCACTTGATCAACTGAGCCGTCTCCCCGGGCTCCTTGGGATGGTTTAACTTTTACTTGTTTTAGCACACACGGAGAAGATGGTACAGGAGAATTTGGACAAACTTAAGAAAGATTAAGAGGACAGAAAAGAGTGGGTTCACTTCCCCTTTCTCAGGAAAGGGAAGTGGCATTTGCTTGCCCTGCTGAAACCTCATCCGCTCCCATCTCTAACTGTCAGGTTACATAATGCTTTTCCCCGAGTTATGAAATAGCTAGGTCCCTGAGGTCACTTGTCATTTGATTCCTAGTTACCACGTGTGTTCACTTAGCCAACACATGCCTGACTACACACCTATTATGTGTTTGGTGTGGAAATGCAGTAGAAGGGGAAGAAAAGTATAGAGTGCCTGCCCTCGAGACATTCACAGTTGAGGGAGGAATGTGATTGGGAATTAGCTAATGAGAAGTCATTGTGGCATTCAGCTGTAGTAAGGGTTGTAAAAGATATCAGGCATGGTGCATGCATGCCTGTAACCTCAGCAGTTCGGAGGTGGAGGTAAGGATCCAGAGTTCAAAGACAGCCTTAGTTACCTAGCAAGTTGTGACCTGTGGACTACATGAGACCCTATCACAAACAAACACATGGACAATAAAAACCACACATAAACTGAAATAAGCACTGAAGGGCAGGCATATGGAGCCACAACATACATGTGCTCATACACTGCACACACATATATCACACTCATACACATATACACGCACATAAAAAAACAAGTTGGTGTAGATGCCTCTGAAACCCCAGTACTGGGGATGTAGAGACAGGAGGATGTCTGACTTTTGCTGGCCAGCTAGTCCAGGCAATCTTCCAACTCCAGGACCAGCAGGAGACTCAATCTACTTTACACAGATCTACTCAGAGAGGTGAAAAAAGCTTGCTCACCTTGGGGTTGAATCAACCAAGACAGAGATGGCCTCACTGGGAAGTCAGGAGTCTACAGAGTCAGGCTCTGGGAATGTGGGACAGGCTCTGGGCAGAGCAGGAGATGCAGCCACTGCGGGGCTGTGCGGAGGTGGGGACTCTAGAGCATGCCCAGGATTTGGCTTCTACCTTCTCAGGCTCACAAAGCTCTGTGATGCCATTGAATGGGTTAATGACAGAGCTTGCATTTTAAACGTGTCTTCAGCTCAGATCTGAGACACGAAGCGGAAGGACCCAGAGTGGCCCTGCTGGAGGATTAGTGGCCCTCAAGACACATGCTCAGGGGATGGCAAAGGCCTGGGAAGATCTTCCAAGAGGGAAGTGGGGGCGGGGATCAGATTCTGAACTCAGCCTGTCTTCCTCACTAACTGCAAGGCTGCTGTGTGCTGATATGCCCAAGGGTGGCCCGTCCTCATGCTCCTACTGTCTGTCCATGTACTTCGCTCACCGGATGCACGAGAGACATGAAGGGCCCTCCTCCTAGAAGAGGAGCTTTTGGTTTCAGCAAACTCACCCTTACCTGCCAAAGTTACCAGCAGGCACTGGGTTTGAGGAAGGGCTGTTTGTCTTTGTTCTGGGTGGCAGTGGCTGTGGGCCTGACTCAGGCACCATTAGTTCATTGGCTTGTAGGTTGATTGGTGCTTGACGTGGGAGGGCCCAGCTCACTGTGGGTGGGAGCGCCTCTGGGCAGGTAGTCCTGGGATCTATAAGAAAGTGGTTGTGTAAGCCATGGGGACCAAACCTGTAAGCAGCACTCCTCCATGGCCTTTGCTTCAGCTCCTACCTCCAGGGACCTGACTTAGCTCCTGCCTTGACTTCCAAGTATGACTGACTACAAGTGAGAAGATGAAATAAACCCTTTCTTTGCTGAGTTGCTTTAGGTCAAGGTGTAAGTCTGCAACAAAAACCCTAACCCAAACAATGAGCTATTCAGTGTCCCTATCTTGGAGAGCTGGATGTAGGTTGACCGTGTAGTTCATTATCTATTCATATATCTGATGGAGAGCGGAGGTTCTGTTAATAAACTGCAAAAGAGAAGCTGGGGAGATGGTTCAGTCTGTGAGATGATCACCACAGAAGCTGAGACCCACCTCGAGCATGCCAAGAACCTCCAGCATCTCCAGCACCTGCATAGAACGCTGGGTGCTGGGGCAGGGGAATGCTCCGTGTGGAAAGTGCTTGCTGCACAATCGTGAGGACTTGAGTTCAGGTCCCAGCACCCACATAGAAAGCCTGATGTTGCCATAAATGTGTCTGTAACCCTAGTTTTGTGGAGTGGAGACAGGAGGGTCAGTGGGGTTTGCTGGACACCAGCCTAGCTTTAGGCTCACCGAGAGACATTGTCTCAAAGAAATAAGGTGGAGAGTGGCAGCAATACGCCTGATACCCTCTGGCCTCCGTGTGTGTGCCTGTTTACAGGCACCCATGCTCACACTGCACACATATGCAGCACATTCACACACATATACACACACATTAAAAACCAAAGGCTGGGACAGATGCATCTGAACCCCCAGTGCTGGATGTCTGGGCTTGTTGCTCAGCCAAGCTAGCAAATCTTCCATCTCCGACATCCAGGAGATTCATATAAGGCAAGGGGCTGGGGAGCTCAGCGATTAAGAGCTTTGGTTCTTATAGAGATCTGGATTCAGGCCTCAGTTCTTACATGGTCACCTCCCAGACATAGTGGCTCACAGCCTTTGGTGACTCTAGTTCCTGAAGATCTGATGTCCTCTTAGAACCTCTTCTACAACAGGCACACACAGGGTGCACATACAGACATGAAGGCAAAATGCCCACACATAAAATAAACCTTCAAAAATAAACCAGGTGACGTGATTGAAACAGACACTGGATATGGATCTCTGGTCTCCCCGGGCCCACACATGTACACACAATGCACACACTGAGCCCGGGAAAAGCTGGGATTGTCTCTGGAAAACCTGGTCCCTCCAGGAGGAAGGGAAAATTGAGGGGTGTATTGTCTTCCCACTGAGAGCCTTTCTACCTTCAGTCAGGTATTTTCCTCCCTCACTCGAATTACCGAAGAGAGAACCCTAGAAAGCAGGAAGCAAACCCCACCACCAAAGTCAGTTTTATTCCTTACAGGCAATGCCCCAAAACATCCCCACCATGGTCACATGGCTGACTATTTGGCTTCACCGGCAGACCACGCCCAGGAAATGGTCCTTCCAATGGGAGGCTCTACCCAGGTGCTCATTAAAAATGCAGACACGCCCTGGCCCAGACCTACTGAACCAGAACCTGCATTTTAGCAGAATTCACAACCCAAAGTGATTAATACACACATTAAAGTCTGAGACAAACCCCTGGATTTTTGCCTCACTTAAGAAAACAGCCCTTTACAACATGATCACGCTCGCTGTACATAAAACTGAAACCAAGCTCTGGTGAAACAGTGCTTACCGTTATTTTATTAGGAAAAACAATGCGTTCAGGACCCTGGAGCTGCATTTCCGAACCTCCTGCTTGTTCTCAACGGAATTATGAAGGCCCTGGGAGCAATGTCTAGAATGTGTGTGTGTGGGGGGGGTGGTGGTGGTGCTTGGTGGGGTATCAAGGAAAGTGGTGTATCAAGGAAAGTGGTGTTAAGCACTTTCTAGCTTGCTTTGCAAAACGTGCGCTTAGTCACTTCTGAGTTTGAACTTGGAGCCGGAACCTGGGGGAGTGGGGGGAGGGCTGCGAGGGGGCAGCTGAAAGTTTGCAGAGTCCTCACAGGGGCCTCTATTAGAGGCAGTAGGAAGGCAAAGGGGCTGGAAGCTGGAGAGGGCTGGAGCTGGAAGGCTCTCCGGCGGCGAGAGGTCCTGCCCAGCTGTTGGCGAGGAGTTTCCTGTTTCCCTCCCGGCGCCCGGGTAGAGTTGATGAGTGAGTCACTCGCGCGCACCGACCGACGACACCCCCCGCGCGCGCACACGCTCGCTTGGGGGACGGAGCCCCAGCCTTCTGCGCAGCTCTCCTCGGCCGCCGGGGGCCTCCTCCCGGCCTCCAAGCTCCCCCGATCTCCGGCCACATCTGGCCCGCACTTCTGCCCGGCGCGCTCAGGACGGCCCAGGCATACTGAGAGGACGAAGAGTCAAGGCGCAGCCCGGGGTCCCCGAGGCTCGGTTCGCGGCGCCTCAGGGGCCGGTCTATGACGAGCGACGGGGGCTACCATGGGTCGGGGGCTGCTCCGGGGCCTGTGGCCGTTGCACATCGTCCTGTGGACGCGCATCGCCAGCACGATCCCACCGCAAGTTCCCAAGTCGGGTGAGTGAGTGGCCACGGAGCGACGCTGGGGATCCACTAAGGCTCCCCGCTGCTCCTCCAACCCCCAGGGCAGCGATTGACAGTCGGCCGCGGGTCCCGGCGAGAGGGCGGAAACGGGACGTTTGTAGCGGCCCGAGACGTCCCAGGCCCGCGGGGATCCCGGGAAGATTTCTCGCAAAGGAGGACAGTTCAGTTGCGGGAGACTTGGGGACGCTCATGACCCCTTTGTGAGCGCACGAAAGGCTAGGGCGGCCGCGAAGGGCCTGCACCCCCGGAAAGGGAAGTTTGAGAAGTTGGGGCTTGGAGAAGTCATGGCAGGGGATTGGCAGTCCAGCTGTTGCACACCTGGGCCGAGTACCGCCCCAGACACCCTGATTATACCAGACTCTCAGTCCTCAATTCTACCACCTCTGAAATCAGGGATTCTGGGCCCCGACTCACTGGAAACAAGTTCGAGAAAAGAACTGATCTCAAAGGGCTGTCATCTATCCCGCTGGCCTGCAGGGATGGGGACTTAAGGGCTGAGAATAATTTACTGCGTGCCTACTAAGTGCTGGGTTCCAGGGTGGTGCCTGGAGTCAAATATCTCAGTAGTTGTCGCTTAGTGGAAACACCTAACCCAGGATGTCCACCAGGTCCAGTGCCAGGGGCTGCATTTAAGGTAGAAAACCAGGAATCAGGACTCCTTCCTAAGGACTTGCCTGGGAAGTGCAGAGTCTCAGATATTTTAGCTCACAAAAGTTAGAATTGTGGCAGCTATTTGTGGTCAGGGCCACTAGTTGGTTAAGTCACGTGACTCTGGGCCTCAGTTTTCCCCCTTTGTACATCTCCGTGGTTCAGTTTGCGTAAGTTTGGCACTCGTTTCATCTTTGACTTTCCACTCCCTTCTCTGGTGTTTTCAGTGACTAGGAGATGGTCAGGGTCGCTTTGGATGAACTTGCATTTGGGTGGGGGAGTTCTTTGCAAGTGTCAGAGTAGGTGAGGCGATTTTAAGAGTTAAAGATGGTGTTGAAAGCAGCAGTGGAGCATTTCAGAAGGAACGCCTCGCACAAAGCAAGGCAGCAAAAATCCTAACAGGGTTTTAATTCTGTAGTTTCTTAAACGCTGCTTTGGTTTTTCCGGTCTCTATTGAGCGGCAGCTCCAGAAAGTTAAATCCTCTCTGTTGTTACCCAAGCCTTGATTGGAGACTTGGTTCCGTGGCTAAGATCGTTGCTGTGCAAGCCTGAGGATCTGCGTTCAAATCCCCTGCGTCCATATACAAAGTTGGGTGTGGCCCCCTTGCCAACTCCGTGGTAGTGGGAGAGGACTGGAGGCCCTTTGGAAACTGATGGATGCCAACCTGGGTCTAGATTGGGTGAGAGACCCTGGCTTAAGGGAATCCTGGGGAGAGTGATAAAGAACACCTGGTATCCTCCTCTGCCCCCACCCACACATGCACATAGATCCTCCCCCCAACACACACATAGACACAATTTTTTAAAAAATATTAAAAGAAAGCCCGCTGGATTTAGCTGATGACCATCAGACATGTCACCCCTCTTACTCTGTGTACACAGCATTTGCTTTAGACGGGGAAGGAACAAAACTCAGGAGGCCCCAATTTAAGTCTTGTTTACAAGATTAAGATTTGTGATTTTCGAATTCCAGGCACTGTAGCTCATGAGTCATTTATACACACAGTTTTAAACAATTAGCTGACGGGCCTGGTGGGTCTTTTTAATTTTGGGCTTTAAATAGTTTTATGAAACAGAGACTTTTCACATTTCTATGGAGTTGCGATTCCAGAATGTTTGGACAGTTTGCTTGGAGTTGTTCTCATATGGTCGAAGTTTCCAAAGATGGTTTAAAGATGGAAGACAGCTCCCAGGAAAGTGTGTGGAATCCCACTTGGCTTTTTGTTTTCCATAGATGGGAAGGGTGTCGGGATTTCTCTGACATAAGTGGTAAATTGTGAGAACCATTTCCAGGTAACTTAATGCAAGGTAAGATGCGAAGGCACCAGAGAAAGACTTACAAAGACCTAGAGCTCCTTAAAAAATGAGTAAAACCCATTTTATACTTACAGCCTGCCAGATGAGCAAGTACGTATACACACACACACACACACACACACACACACACACACCTTTTTTCTCGTGGGTATCTGGGGGTGCTATTCATGAGTGCTGGACTAGACTGGACACGCACTTGGGTGCTCATGGGTGTGGAGGCCAGAGGTTGGCACCAGGTGTCTTCTGCAATGTCTCCACGCCATTTATGGAGGCAGGTTTCTTTGATGGTGCTGGGCCTGTAGCTGAACCCAGAGGGTCCCGTGCTGGTTCGTCCTGCTAACCAGCTTGCCTTGGGGAACTCCTGTCTTTGCCTGCAGGTGACCATCCTCCTGGCTGTTTAAGTAAGTGCCTGGCAGGGATCTAAATTAAGGTCCCACACTTGCAGAACAAGTGCTTTTTGAGCTGAGCCAAGAAATATACTTAGACAAATTTTAACTTAAAAATTGTTTAGTGTGTGTGTATGTTGTTATGTATGTGCATGTGTGTACATGTGCATGTGTGTGCGTATGTGACTGCTCTTGTGTTGAAGAATTCAGAGAACAACTCCCTCGATTATATGAGACTGAAGAACTCAGATTTCGGAGCTTGACTGCAAACTCCTTTACCTGCTGAGCCCTCCTGCAGGCCTCAAAAAATTAAAATGTTTGTTTTTGATGTATTACAGTCACACTTGTAAGTGTTCAAAAATCAGAAATGACTTTTAGAGAAAAAGATACCCTGGAAACGTCAACCCTTGAAAACTATGGTTTTTATTTTTGAGGTGCCTACAGAAGGGCTCTCACAGAGAGCTAAACCTTGGTCCTAGTGTCCTGGGGATCACCGGTCACTACCGACTCTCTAAGGACTAAGTCACCTTGTCCAGGTCAGGAACTAGAAATCGTCCTGGAGTTTAATCGTTGGCCTACTTCTCTCCCACCCTCCCGTAAGATGCATTTTCACCCACAGGGCACTTCCTTTAATGGCGTCTTATTTTTAACAAGTGGCTTTAATTTGGTGCCTCTGTTTTGACTTAGCGCCCCACATTGAGGACTCCTTATTAAAGGCCCACCCACTGCAGCTCCTCTATGACACCCATGCCTGTTTCATCCTTCTTCTGCCATAACCTTGACAGTTTTCTTTACATTTATGAATTTTTATTTTAAAATTTGGTTTCATTTATTTCATTGTGTGTGTGTGTTTGTGTGTGTGTGTGTGTGTGTGTGTGTGTGTGTGTGTGTGTGTCTGAGGTAGCTGTGGGTATGGACATGAGCGTGTACTGAGTGTAGGTGCCCATGGAGGCCAGAAAGTGTTGGATCCCCTAGAGCTAGCTGGAGATGCAGATGGTCATGAGTCTTCCGTGTAGATGTTTGGGAACAGGATTCGGGTCCTCTGCAAAAGCCCTTACCGTAAGCTGAACTCGCGCCCCAGCCCCTGAAAATGGCTCTGTTTCCTTAACGTTAATGCACCTTATTAACATTATCTTCCAAAGTGCCTTCCGAGTCTTCCTTCTCCACAATGTTTATTGAATATCTCCTTCGAGGGCATCAGTTCTCGAGGGCATCAGTTCTCAACCTGCGGGTTATGACCGACCCTTTCACAGGGGTTGCTGCCCAAGACCATCGGAAAACACACGCTATGACTCATAACAGTAGCAAAATTAGAGTTATGAAGCAGCAAGGAAATAATTTTACGGCCGAGTGTCACCACAGCATGAGGAACTGTATTAAAGGGTCGCAGCACTGAGAAGGTGGAGACTCACTACTCTAGAGGGCCGTTGAGACCCAGGAGACATTCCCCCAGATGAGGGGCACAGATGCTTTCTTACTGTGTTTCTTTGAGCTCTTCTTCCCTGCCTCATGTCACAGTCAGACACAGGACACATCAGGGGCTTAGAACATGGTCACGTCCTGTTTGACTTTCTAGTCCCCGTAATCTAAATCCCTCCTGTCTTCTTGAATGCCCTGGGAGGGTGTGCACATTAGATATTACCTTCTCGGTGCCTCTGTGTGTGTTTCTCATTGCTGTGTTCTTACTTCACTGGCTCTGTCTGATTATAGGCCAGCCCTAGAAGACCCTCAATCTCCGCTCTTTCCTGTTACATGAGCTGGGCCGAGTGTGTCCTGCCTGTCTTTCTATCGGATGGGCTGGAGGTAGAGTGAGGGCTGCATGCTGCAGATCAGGTTGTCTTGGGTTCCAGTCCTGCCTCCCCCCCCACTGACTATGCAGCCTGGGAGTGCTTGGCACTCACTGTGGGAAACTGGGAAGACAGACTTGAGGTAGGGTCGAGTGACATAATGCTTCCCAGTTCTTGGTCCCATGTTCATGCCCCACAAATGACTCTGGTCATTATTAACTCTTGAGTCACACCTGGAAAAGGCCTCATTGACCCTGTTCAATCTGACTTTGCATCCTACCAGGGCCTAGAGCGTCCCAGGCCTCAATTTAGGCAGCTGTTCCTCTGTTCACTCTCTACTGCCTCTCTTCTGGAATTCCTATCCTCCTGCTTTTTCTCATCTTTGAAGACCAACTTGGGCCTCCTAAGGGAACCTGCTTTGGCATCAGCTGCTTTCAGGAAGAGCTGAGCTGAGCGTCCCTTCACCCTGCTGGGGAGGAAAGTGTGACTAGGACACAGCCTTTACTACCCAGGCAGTCGTGGGCGTTGAATTTGGTCTTGAATGGTTAGAGGTATCTGATCAGTGAGGCTTTGGTTTACTTTGCAGCACCTGCGATTGAACCCAGAACTTTGTGTATCCGCCATCCTTCTCTTGATTTGGTATTTTGTAGCAGGGTCTCACAGAGTCGCCCTAGTCAGCCTTAAGTTCCCTGGGGCAAAACAGCCCTTCACCCTGCATTGCTTCTGCCTCAGCCCTTAAGAACTAGGCCCCCAGGCCTGGGCCTCTGGGCTCAGCTTGGCTATTTCTATGCTATTTAATTGGTTCCTATATTCTGACCAAAGATAGAAAAAGACG